CAAACACAGAATTCATGTCTTAAATTGAGCTCCTCATCTATGAAATTCTAAGCAGTGTCTAACAACAAAGAGAAAGTAGACCTTCTCCAAAGACAGTTTTCACCATCCAGGACAAAGTGATCCCCTGGCCTCCATGGTGAACGCCCACCTCAGGGGGACATCAGGTATTTCTGCTTGTCAAACCCTTCTCCTTCCTCTGGGGGTCCCATCCCCCAAGCCTGTTCTTATGGTTCACACAGGGCTGGTTCGCTTGGGTCCTGCTTCTGGAGATGGCAGCCTGGACCAGATCCACGATGCTGGTACTCTGGAACAAGGGCTCCACCACCCATCCAAGTCTAGAAGTCTCAGATCCAGAACCTTTTAGAGCTATTTGAAAAGAGAAGCTGTTTCTACACGGGGCACTTCCCCGCTGGCTCAGTAGGTAAAGAATCTGCCTGCAGTGCAGGAGACTCGGATTCGACCCCTGGGTCGGGAAGATCCCCTGGAGGAAGGAGTGGCAACCCGTTCCAGTATTCTTTCGGGGAAAATTCCACAGACAGAGGAGCCTGGAGGGCTGTAAGGAGCACGACAAGACTGAGGGACTGCACACACACACACACACACACACACACACACACACACACACACACACACCCTACAGGGAACGCTCGCTGTAAGGATGATTTAAGTCTGGAATTTCTGAGGCCATATTTCTGCCTTGGGGGACCCAGGCAAAGAATGAAGGCAGCACAGAAGTAAGTGAATCTGGGGCCACCACAGAAACGAGTTTCCAGGGACATGACTGATAATCTGGATCCCGCCCTGCCAGAAGCCTGTGTCACCACTGGACTTCTCAAAACAGGAGCTGAGCCATGATTCTGGCATGTTCTTAAATTGGGTTGAATTGAGTCTCCTGTCACTTATGAGCAAGAGTCCTGATGCCATCTCTATTTAGCGTGCCCCAGGCTGCTTCCAGATAACTGAAAGCATGTTAGGAAATTCTCAAAAAAATATATAAAACTTATAATGTGTTCATTAGAATTTAAAATAGTAATGTTTGAGTTGGATATGAATGTCATTAAAGCCAAAGAGACAGTAATAGGGCAGAGCAGCTGATTAGAATTAGGACTCATTCATGCTGCGGGGATGGACACGATTCACTAGAGCTTGACTGTCCAGGACGGGAGCCCTGAGATACACATGCAAGCAGTGCGCCTGAGATCCGGCTGGTCCAGGGGAAACATGCTGTTCAAGCGTACAGCAAAGATTCTAGACGCAGAACCCTCAACGCAAACCAGAGTATGCAAAGTCTCGCATTAATTGCTTTATACTGGTGACATGTCAAAGTTGAAAATATTTGGGAAACAGGAGGTTAAAAAGTACCATTAAAATGAATCTCACCTGTTTCTTCTTTACTTTTCACTTGTACTCTGGCTGCTGGGCAATTTAAAAGTACATCTATAGCTTGCATTCTACTGCTAAGAGACCTTGTCACGTGACAGTTGTAACTGCCGCAAGGTTCTGCTTTATGGTGAACAGAAAACCCCAGTCCCCGAGCCTCTCACCCTGGTTTTCCTTATCCTAAACTAATGTGCTTGATCCTGGGGAATTAAAAAAAAAAATGAATCAAAACCATTATTCTCAGTCCAGCCCCTCAGCTATTTGAAGCAGCTCCAAGATTTTTCCTACAACTTCTCTCTTCTGGACCAAACACCCACATCCTTCAACCACTTTTCATATAACCTAACTTTTTCACTTTCCTGTGGAACCTTCTAGTTCCCCTTAAAATAAAGTGTTCAGGGTTCTTCCTGGCTCACCCACTGTTATCCAAGCGCGGACACTCTCTTCTCCTTGTAGGAGACATCAGCTTTCTATTAATCTGGGCCCAGTGTCAATGCAGGAGATAAAAGAGACAAGGGTTTGATCCCTGGGTCGGGAAGATCCCCTGGAGGAGGGCATAGCAACCCACTCCAGTATTCTTGTTTGGAGAACCCCATGGACAGAGGAGCCTGGCGGGCTACAGCCCACAGGGTCCCCAAGGGTTGGACGTGACTGAGCAATGTGGCACCGCACAGCAGAGCATGCCATCTAGTAGGGGAAAGTCAAGGATGCTGTGAAACGTTTCAGAGGCACAGGGCAGGCTCCCCCAACAAAGAATGATCTGGCTCCAAATGTCAGCAGCGCTGAGGTTGATAAACCTGCCCCCGATTGCAAATTCATGTCCCTTTGGCCACCTGTTTTATTTCTAGCCCCAACAGAAAGCATAGCCTAAAGGAGATGCTGAGCAATTGTTCGTTGAAAGAATAAGTGACATCTCCCTTACTAGGAGGAAACAGAAAAACCAATCAAGATTACCTGTAGGTTTATAACTTCCTGTTTCAGGAAAGAACTTGCCTGGGGAATAATATGGTTGAGGACATGGAAATTGTATTTAATGAATAAGCTAGCTTTATAATTAGCATACCCATGGCTAATTAATACATGAACTTCTAAGAAGAAGAACACTAAGAATTTTGGGGTCTCTAAGGTGGCCACGTGTGCTCTTATTTGCATCTTATTGCCCTACGTATTTGGTGAGTAATATGATGTTTATTAGGGACTTCCTTGGTGGCTCAGATGGTAGAGTCTGCCTACAATGCAGGAGATCCAGGTTCAATCCCTGGGTCTGGACGATCCCCTAGAGAAGGAAATGGTGACCCACTCCAGTACTCTTGCCTGGGAAAGCCCATGGACAGGGGAGCCTGGCGGGCCACAGTTCATGGATGGGGTCATAGAGTCGGACATGACTGAGTGACTTAACTTTTACTTTTCATGATATTTATGAACTGAGTGAACTCAGGCAACTGAATCTCTCCAGGCATCAGTTTCCTCAAAGCGGGTATACAGACATTCCTCAAGGTGGGTGTCTAGATGCTGGCTCTTCCCGTAGCCCCGTGATGGATGGCGGGGGTGAGGTCAGACAGTGTCTGTAAGGGACTCAGCACAGGGCACCACTTAGCCTAGAGTAATTACCCTGCCGCGGGAGTTACTATTTCCTCTTTCGGCTCTTCCAGCGATCACGCTGGGCCAGTAGTAAGTCTTCGTGTAATAGATGATGGCTTCGGCTGAATCTCAATCGGGCCAGCTGGCTGAAATTGTATCAATTTTTCGTCCATGAAGAGATCTTACTAGTGACCGTGACGAATCCAAAGAGATTTCTCTCATCAACAAAGAAGGCTTTCTGGAGAGCTCCTAAAATACTGAAAAGGATGTTTTTCAAACTGTCTGGCGTGAGGACCCACACTTAGGCATGAAAGCGCAGATGTCCTTTTCAGAGGCTTCCAGTGGAGGGGCTCCTGTGGGGAGCGCGGACACCCGTGTGAAGCGATGGTGTCTGGTCTCTCGCGGGAAGCCAGCACACGTGGACGGGGTGGGGGTCCTGGGGGCTCGGGCGTGGTGCCCTCCCGGGGTCCATCCACACTCATCCGGTAGAGCCCATGTGGACCGCGGGCCTGGCCTGCGGGGAGAAGGGCCCTGGCCGAGCGTCTCCCAGAGCGTGGCCAGGCCTGGGAGCCAGTGAGTCATTCGGCCTTGGCTCGGAGTCCCCGGGGCTCCTGGGAGGAACAGACAGACTCTGTTGAAAGGAAACCCTCCGGTGTCGGGGTGGCTCCCAGTCGCCTCTTGGAGGAGGCCCGTAACCGCCCCGGGCCCTCCGCTCCTCTCGGCCTGGAGAAACTACAGTGACCTGGGGGCGGGGAGGCGGAGGGGTGAGGGGCCGCTTGGAGGTCAGGCCTTTCCTGTCAGCCTGGAACAAAGGCCCCCGACCCTGGCTGGAGAGAAACTTCCTGGGCCTTATGGGGGCGCCGGCTTTTGACTCAAAGTTTAGCCAACTCGCCGCTGCTTGGGGAAACGAGGGTCAGACGGGTCGCCCAGATTCCAGTCATCTCACTTTCTCCACCTGGGGGGTTGTCAGGCTTCTCCCTAAATATCAGAAGCTCTCTCACTTTGGGGGCTCGCTTTGGTGACGTTTATTTTTCTCTGTTGGAGAAATTCCTCTCACGAGCACACAGCTTCATTATGCAGTGTTATCAGGAGTGTTGTCTTTTCTTGGCGGCTGTTGTGAGAATTTCTTATGGGCAGACACCCGCTCTCAGGAGAGAAGAATATTCAAAATGGTGGGAACTGATTTTTCTGGGCCTGAATGTGAGCAGGCAGATGAAGACAGGGAGGGACTTGTGTGTTACTCCAGAGAGGGCCAGAAGAGGAAGTGAGTGTGGGACTAAAGCGGGTGGGGCCACCGGCCATCTGCTGTGTGATGTCCCCCCTTCCTGTGACCGCTGCCCTCAAAAGGCTTCCGATGAGGGGATTTACGGGGGAAATCCCTTGTAAACATGGGCCTCTTGTTCAAGCTGATGAGGGAGGGATTGGAAGCCATGTGCGGGCACTTGTGAGCTCAGGTGTGCTTGCTTAGTTGCTCGGTCGTGTCCAACTCTGTGACCCCATGGACTGTAGACCGCCAGGCTCCTCTGTCCATGGGATTTTCCAGGAAAGAATACTGGAGTGGGTAGTCGTTCCCTCCTCCAGGGGATCTTCCCGACCCAGGGATCGAACCCAGGTCTCTTGCATTGCAGGCAGATTCTTTACTCTCTGAGCCACCAGGGCAGCTGGGGGAAATATGAGGACATAGCTATTGGGGGAATTCACAGCAAGGGTGAGGGCAAACCTGGATTCTTGGCTATCCGTGGGGTTCTGGTTTGGGACTGATTCACAGTATCTTCTTAGGTGCAGGGACTGTGGATAACATCTGAGTTCTGTCCCCGAGGTCCCTCTGCGAGCCTGCGCGGATGTGGCCACTGCTTTGGGCTTAGGTGCTGTGTGCTGACGCACTCAGTGCGAGGCGTGATCTGGCTCATCAGCTCTCCGAGCGGGGAAGTGAACTGGGACGGGGTAGCAGGCCCGGGGCCTGTCTTCCACTTGTTAACCCCCATGGAGGACACAGCCCCGTCTTGGCCGCTGCCAGGAAACTACAACATGTCAGAACTTCAGGCGAAGGCACGAGGTTCCAGCTCATTGGGACCCAATTCACGGAGCTGTGCGGGATTTGGGGGGAGCTGTGTTTGGCCCCGGAGAGACCCGGCAGATGCTGAGGGGGACTCCTCCCTGTAGAGCTCAAGAGCTGGCTGGCTCATCACCCAAACGGGGCCCCGGGGAGCGCAGCTGATGAGGGTGCCCACGGTGCTGGGAGGCGCTCTGCTCTGCCCCCCCGCCAGCTCCCTGTGGAGGGGAGGGCCGGGCGGGGAGTCACACGCGGGGAACTCTTGCAAAAGACCCAGCAGTGCTTTTGGAAGACATCCCGCTGTAACAAGCTGCGGAGGCTTCGGGGGGCTGGGGTGGTGGCGAGATGGGAGCTGGGTGCTGAGGTACGCCCCAGTGCTTTTTTTTTTTTTTCTGCCGCACCCTCACTCCTGGCGGTGGGGGAGAGAGGTGCGTGTAAACCACATAATCCGAAACAGGTCTCGGAGCTGCTCTGCCTGCCGGGGCTGGGAGGATAATCAGAGCCTCCCTCAGGCCACGCAAGGGCCGCCTGCCTTGGAACCCAGACGCATTCCAGAAAGAAATGAGGGGTCTGCGTGTGCACAGTCAAAATGTGTCTGTGTTTAAACAGCGCGTGTCTACGCTCAGTATGTGTGTGTTTGTTCTGAGTGCATGCTTGTGTGCTGAGTCACTTCATGTCTGACTCTTTGCGACCCCATGGGCTGTAGCCCGCTAGGCTCCTCTGTCCATAGGATTCTCCAGGCAAGAATACTGCAGTGGGTTGCCATTGCCTCCTCCAGGGGATCTTCCCAATCCAGGGATTGCACCTGCATTTCCTGCGGGTCCTGCACTGGCAGATGGATTCATCACCACTGAGCCACCTGGGAAGCCTGTTTTGAGCACAGACATAGGTAATAAGTGTGTGGGAGGCTGTGCAAGGCCAGTGTTCTGGGTGGAACACACGGGTAGTGTGTGGCCAGTGTGTACATGTGGCCATGCACGCTGCTGTGTGTGTCCTCTGAGTGTGTGTGCCTTGGGCCACATGGTCTGTGGTGCATTTTGGGGGTCCGTGTCCTGTGTGTGCATGGACTGAGAGTGTTGGTTCACAAGGTGTAGCCCCAAATGCATCCGTCATCCCAGTATGTGCATCCTCTGTGCACCCAGCGGGTGTGCGAGGCCGCTGTGCCTGCATCCTTTGTGTGACCACTGTGTGTATATCTAGTGTGCGTGCCCCTGCAGGTGAATGAATGACAGAGAAACCACGGGACTGCAGCGGTAAGTGTATGAGTGCCAGGCCCAGCCTACCCATGGCCAGCTCAAGACGTCAGAACACAGCACGGCACACAGGGCCTGCCGGCTCACAAGCCCCCCACTCCTCCATGCCAGCCCCTCGCCAGCCTGGTACCCCCGCCCCTCCCCCACTGCTCCCTTGACTCTGATCCCATAGGACCGCCTGCAGCGCCCTGCACAGGCCAGGAGCTCCAGCCTCTGACCTTGGCCTGTGCTGGCCCCTCTCCTAGAACTCCTCTCCCCACTCCCACCTTTCTGACGTCTCCTCATCAGATCAGATTCTGCCCAAGTGTTCACACATCTGTGAAACCTCCTGGATGTGACCCTTAGAACCGACCATCTCCTACTCTGTCTCCCAGGAGTGGCGAGCATCTAGTCAAGGTTATGGTTTCATCCAGTGTATGGATGTGAGAGTTGGACTGTGAAGAAAGCTGAGCGCTGAAAAACGGATGCTTTTGAACTGTGGTGTTGGAGAAGACTCTTGAGAGTCCCTTGGACTGCAAGGAGATCCAACCAGTCCATCCTAAAGGAGATCAGTCCTGGGTGTTCATTGGAAGGACTGATGCTGAAGCTGAAACTCCAATACTTTGGCCACCTGATGCAAAGAGTTGACTCACTGGAAAAGACCCTGATGCTGGGAGGGATTTGGGGGCAGGAGGAGAAGGGGATGACAGAGGATGAGATGGCTGGATGGCATCCCCAACTCAATGGGCATGAGTTTGAGTAAACTCCAGGAGCTGGTGATGGACAGGGAAGCCTGGCGTGCTGCGATTCGTGGGGTCTCAAAGAGTCAGACACGACTGAGCGACTGAACTGAACTGAACTGAACTGAATGCTGTCTCCCGACCAGGAGTGCAAACACATCCCCCCACCCTCTCCTCTAACATTTGAGGTGCTTACTCACCTCCATGACTGTTTGCCGAGATGGTGACGGCTAGGGTGACGAAGACAGCATTGGCCTCAGCTCTTTCAGCATTTTTACAGCCCAGGCCGTGGCCTAAACATGGTCGCATCCTCACAGCAGCCCGACTAGAATGCAGTCTGTATCCTCACTTTAGAGAGGGAGGTCTCCAGAGACTCTTAAGTATCGAAGCAAGAAGTGAACCCTGGATCTGACTTCAGGGCCCAGGCATTATGTCGTTACGCCATTCCTGGGGCGGGACTCACTCTTCTGATTGATTTCTTCCAAGAAGCATTTCAGTGCTTCCAATATACCAAGTGCTCTAAGCACTCAGAAATACAGCCTCAAATTATCCTCATAGAACTTGGATTCTAGTTCTGGTCCATCCCAGAAGGCTGGGGTGGATGGTGTGTGTGCATGCGTGTATGAGTGTGTTTGAGCTATGAGCAGGAAAGTCCCATAATCCAAGATGATCACACAAGGATGCTACCGTGAGATTAGTTGTGTAGGTGCCAAGAAGAGGGGGTGAGACACAGACCATCAGAACAAGAACAGTGGTAGGCAGATAATGGCCCCAAGAGACGTCCTGTTCCCCAGAATCTGTGCTTGTTAGATTACACAGCAAAGGGCAATTAAAGTTGCGGGTGGAATTGAGGTTGCTAATTAGCTGATGTTAAGATAGGGAGAGTACCCTGGATTATAAGGGTGGGTCCCCTGTAATCACCTGTGTTCTTAAAAGTGCAAGGGAAGGCAAAAGAGGGACAAGGTGATGTGATGGAAGGACTCAGCACGCCACTCCTGGCTGGGAAGGTGGGGAAAGGGGCCAGGAGTCAGAGCACGTGGGGAGCTTCGAGCAGCTGGAAAAGCCAAGACCCAGCTTCTCTCCTAGTGCTTCCAGGAGGAACATAGCCCTGCCAACACCTTGTCAGTAGCCTAGCGAGACTCTTGATGGAAATTCTGGCCTCCAGAGCTGTTGCAGACAGGATGTGAGCTGCTTTGAGCCCCTAAGTCCAGGGCGAACTGTTAGGGCAGTCACAGGAAATGGACAGAGGAGCCAAGGTCTCAGGTGGGGAGAACCTGGTTCTTGTGTTAAATGGGATCCTCATGGAAGCTTAAGGGGCTAAAGGCATGATAGAGGGTGGAGGATGCTGGCCAGAGGCACCAATGTGCCAGTTCCAACTGGATACCCCAGAGGTGATGGTCACCACCCAGTGTCTGGTTGACGTGACAATGGTCAGTGACAGGAGCATTTCAATAAGTCATGGGCCCCTATTTAAGGGAAGCGCACAGGCTATTATTCCTGCTGCTAACCTCAGAATAAAAGTGAGACCCACCAGGGACCAATGCCGCCACTCCCCATGACAACATGAACTGGACCCCAAACCAAGGCTCCCAGAAGTGCTGTAGGCAAAACTCTGGTGATAGTGAAGCTCAGACCCTGTCCCAAGAGAAGGTCATTCTGACTCCACACAGACCCACTCTACTTGGACAGCGTCCTCACTGTCCAAGAGCCACGGCCACTCGGCATCGGCTGCATCAATAGCAATAAAATGAATAATTACACGTTTCCCGTTTATGCTCATTGTTGGGGGCCAAGACGAAGATCCGCAAATAGGGCTGCTACCAAGGAAGCGCGCTAGGGAAAAGTGGACCCAAGCGGAGTGATGACTCGGGTGGGCTCCATGACTGCAATTAGCGCCCTGCGTAAACAGCACTCAAGGGCTCCATCCGGGAGCTTGCGGTCCTCCATCTGAAATAGACAACTATTTTACACAGGGAGGCATGAGGCACACTATTTCCAAGTCAATCTAATAGTCTAGTCTGCAAACAATCCTCTCCCTCCCTGTTCCAGGCACTCCCCTTCTTGGCTCTGAGCCGGGTCCCCTCTCCGCAGCTGTGCTCACTTGAATGGTAAATCAAGCACCCTAAAAACCTGGTGGGTGGAAGGCTTTTCAGCATCATCTGGGCCCTGTTTATCCCTGGGTGGCAGAGTTTGGCTCATGTCTTCTTTCTCCTGTAGAGATGCCCAGAGTACTATTTGTCCTTTCCTCTGAAGGGCTGATGCTGAAGCTGAAGCTCCAATATTTTGGCCACCTGATACAAAGAGCTGACTGAGGGCAGGAGGAAGAGGGGGCAGCAGAGGATGAGATGGTTGGAAGGTGTCACCGACTCAATGTACACAAGCTTGAACAAACTCCAGGAGACAGTAAAGGACAGGGAGGCCTGGCGTGCTGCAGTCCACATGTAAGAGTTGGATACAACTTAGCGACGAACAACACTTTTTGGTGTTGCCAAATACTAGCAGTTGAGAGTCTTGTACTCTGTAGAGGGAAGGTGTTTCTGCCAGGAGTTAAGAGGCTCCAGGATATCCCTACTCAGACCTTCCTGATTTTTCTCACCCTTGCAAGGGGTCTGCCAGGTATCTCTCTCTCTCTCTCTCCCCGGAGTCCCGGCAGACGCTACCACTTTGTCATCCGACTGGACTCTGGGTAAAGCCATTCTGCTCAGGGCTGAAGACAACCTATTTTTTCCCCCCTCCCCCTCCGTTTTCGCTCTTGGGAAGGAAATGACCAAAAATGGTCCTGAAGCCATGTTAACTAGATTAAAAAAAAAAGAACATCGACAGTAAGAATATGGCAAGGACGTATTTTCCTGCTCTGTCCCCCGCTTCTCTCTGCACTTTGGGGTTATATGCATTTTCTTTATAAAGATTATGAAACTTTGAAAACAAAGTCCTGAATGTTGACTGATTGTTAGCAACCCAAAGGATTTTCCTGTAGTGTCAAATGCCACATAGAGGATGGTAAAGATGCTACTTGTGACAATCAAATATGTCCTGGAACCATGCTGACTGTCTCCAGGGTAGGGGGTAGACAGCACACTGTTCTCTTCAACAAGTGCATTTTTATAGCAATTCTACCAGTTTGCGGTTTCAGCTCAGAGAGGCAAAATGTCTTGTCTGAGACCAAGCAGGCCTCCAGGGTCTGGGTTCTGCCTCAGATCTCAGGCCCCTTCCACAGCTCTGCGGCCACCCCATGGAGTGTTTCAG